GGGCCCGTCAGTAGACCGACTGCAGCCTTCAGCCCCGCCTCAGACCCCCTGGAGGCCCGCCAGGAGGCTAAGTGTCCGGAGATTGGCCGGGGGCCTGATCTCTCCGGGCGGCCGTGACCGGTCAGCGGACCGTGTCAGCAGGCCCGTGACATGTCAGCCGGCTGACAGGGGCCGTGACCCGGCTGACAGGCTCACCTGACCGGTCACGTGACACATCACGTGACCGAGACAAGACTTTTTTATATCGCAGATCCAAAAACCCATAGGACATTTCTCCCAGGGGGAAGAAAACCTCCCTTGACCCCCCTGTTTCTCGACGGATCCTGCCGGCCGGGCCCGTCAGTAGACCGACTGCAGCCTTCAGCCCCGCCTCAGACCCCCTGGAGGCCCGCCAGGAGGCTAAGTGTCCGGAGATTGGCCGGGGGCCTGATCTCTCCGGGCGGCCGTGACCGGTCAGCGGACCGTGTCAGCAGGCCCGTGACATGTCAGCCGGCTGACAGGGGCCGTGACCCGGCTGACAGGCTCACCTGACCGGTCACGTGACACATCACGTGACCGAGACAAGACTTTTTTATATCGCAGATCCAAAATCTTCTCCTTCTTCTCCCCGGTCGGGTTCTTCGCGGCTGCCTTCAGTGCCTTGGCAAGGGATGTGTTTGTATTGCCACGGACACGGATGGTCTTATTGAATAGAAGTAGACCTTTGATCAAAGCTATCATTTTCTTCGTGGTTGGGGTTATAGTAGTTTCATATGCATTCTCTAGCATGGTAATCGTTTTTTTGATCATACGCTCCTTGATTTCGTTGTATTTCTCTGTCATTTTAAGCAATGTTTTGATCTCTTCCCTCTTTTCGGGTGTCTTGGTCTCTAACTTGGCTCCAAGGTAGGCCTGGACGTTGATCGAGTCCAAGTCGAGTGGGGCGGAAAATGCAGAACCAATCATGCTGAACTGACTGCCTCCTGCTGGTGCCATTGGCACATCAGGATTCGATGATCCACTTAAGTTATTAATGGTTTTGATTGTTTGCTCAATGTTCTTGTCTGTGATCTTGAGGTTGACCAGCCTCTTGTTAAGTTGGATCAGTGTCTGGTTGGGGTCGAAGGGTGTGCGGACCTTTCCAAGGAAGATAGATGGTTGTATCTTCAGAACTGTGATGATTGAAAATTCTGAATTGTCGTCCCATAGAGGACTGTGATTTAAAAATCCACTAGGTAGAAGATCAATCGTTGCTCTTCTTTGACTATCGGAAATTACGATATCCATGTAACCCTGGTTTACCTTTTTCCTTTGATCATCCATTAGTATTTTCAGCTCGTTTTCCTTCGCATTTGTTGTTTGATTTTCACTCATCGCTTGCAATATCTCATTTTTCTTGTCTGATATTTCTTTCTTGAATCTTTTGCTTATTTGACTTTTTTCACCAATGTATTTGTTCAGTTGGTCTTTGATGGCCGGGTTTTTCCTCGCCAGCTCAGTGTATGAGATCAGGTCGATCTTCTGACCGTCGTTGTACAGGTACATCGTACAACCGTGCCCTTTCCGACGCGTGTGCGATGATCTTTAAATATGCGGCAGGGTGCATCGACACCGTGCAGCAAGTCCTTTTAGGCTCAATCCACGGAGGTCGCTGGGGGAGGGGACGAAGGGGGAGGGGAGGGAATGAAGCAGGTCGACCTCACCCGCAACCAGCTGGTGGTGGCGGGCAAGGCCTGGGAGCATGAGCGGAGCCCGTGCTGCCGTGACATGATCCGGCACCTGGTGAGGAGGGAGTGCTACTGCAGCTGGTTCCAGCCGTCGGGCGGGGGGCTGCAGGACCAGTTCCCGGCGATCCGGATGGGGGAGAGTTACTACACCCTGAGCCTCAGGATCCAGAAGGCCATGTTCCGGCACGTCCGCCTGACGAAGGGCTTCCGCAACGTCGAGCGCCTTCCCGACGGGAGGCTGAAGCTCCGCATCCCCACGCAGCTCCTCGTGGAGAAGAAGCGCACTGCAACGCGGTTTACCGTGAGTCGTTGGGAGGGGTGTATTTAGAATCTGCGCGGGTGACGATGAGCTACAGGTGATGCGCTCCAAGTCGGGCGCGCCCTGTGGGGTCGGGAAGCCGTCCTACTCCAAGCGCGTCAGGCTGGAGCGCAAGGCCGAGGCCTCCGACCTCATCGACCTCACCGACATCATCAACGGCATCCTCGGCCCCGCTGCTGCCGACTCCCGGCCTAGCTACACCGCCTTTTTCTTATCCGAGGCCGAGACCGCCGAGCACGTCGTCCAGCACCTCTTCCGCGAGTGCCCCACCCTCACCCGCGATCGGATGGAGTTTGTCAGGTCCATGACGCGGTTGTATGATAAGATCGTTCAAAACTAATTTTACTTATTTAACAAGTCTAGTGCATAGCGTATCTGTCTAGCATCGAGGAGCTCAGCTTCCCGTCCCCGCCGTAGACCGGGACGCGGATGCCGATGGTGTCGTAGGGGTATGGATGGAAGGGGCTGCGCATGTACTTCTTTGAATTTTCTAAGTCTTGAAAAGCCCTCTCCGCCTCTCGTCTGGCGGCATGCTTCGCATGATTAGCTTCAGCCTCATCTTTTCTTTTTTTAGTTAGTTTTTGAATCTCCTCTGTACTCATGTGTCGAAGTCCGTGTGGGTCCTTGTTGATCAGGTTGTTCACATGTTTGCCGGCATTCATGACTTTTTTTCCCGCACCCTTGAGCCAACCATCGGTTCCATCCTTATTCGTCCAGAAACCCTGGAAGCACGGCAGGTGGTGGATCAGCGCGGGGTCGGCGGCGATGACGCCCTTCATCGCCTGCCACAGGCCGTCGCGGAGGTGGGCGTTCATGTCATCGAGGACATCCGGGTCCTGCATGATCGTGAGCTTCAGGTGGGTGAGGTCCGCGGGGGAGACGGTCCTGCAGCCACGGATGGAGGCACCGAAGTGATTGCTTGCAGTGGCTGCAGCAGGCTGGTTTTCCTCCGATTCTTCCTCGGAAGTTTCATCTCCTTCCTTCGTCTTCTTCTTAAGTTTTTCCCTTATATAATCGGCGGCTTTCGTCGCCTTATCCTTTGCATAATCGTAAGCTGCCTTCCCTTTCTTCTTTAACCAATCCACCAATCCCGCCAGCGTATGCCTATCCAACCTATCCAGGATGTCGGGATTCGCGGAGATGAACTCCTTGACGTCCTCCCAAAGCTGCCCCTGCAGGTGGTCGTCGATGAGGTCGAGGACCTCCGGGTTGGACGAGATAGAGCTCATGAGCTCGAGATGGGAGTCAAGGGTAGGAAGGGTAGAATGACAGCGGTAGCGTTCATGGAACGGTTGATAGAAGTACCCAGGTTGCGGTGCCAGCAGGGCCATGGCGGTCGGGCGGGCACTTCTGCGCAGGGGGGCGAGGCAAGTCCTTAAATGGTACGATCGGGTGTTGCGGAATTCCATCTTTCTCTTACATTCATTAAACAAACTTTCGCATTCTACACCAACCCCTGGTACGCAAAGATGTCCTTCTTGACCCACTCCGTCACACTTAGGGTGATCACGAGGGTGAAGACGAGCAGGAGCACAGCCGTCTGCTTCATCGCCGTGACCGTGTGGATGTTGAGCGCTGCCCTGTCATTGATGAAATCGGGGAGCATGTACACGGCAAACAGCCCGAACACAAAGTACAGCCAGTTGTAGAAGAGGATGTAGCTGTAGGCCGTGATGCTCTCCGTGGGCACTGCCGTGAAGATGAGCGCGACGAGGATGAAGAGCTGCACGTACGTCACCATGTCCTTGTACCCCTGGTAGTGGTCGTACACGGCGGATCCCTTCATGCCCAGGTCGCCAGAGAGCCTCAAGGACCGCGTCCAGAACGACGTCATCCAATCGTTCGACATGCTCACGACAGTGAAGAAACCGACGAGCACGGCGTAGTAGTACAGGATGCCGTTGTCGGTCCACTGGCGCGTCAGCACCGTCCCGATCGAGAGCGCGACCATCGCCGGGACCAGCATCACGTCCAGCCAGAGCTGCTCGAGCTGCGCCTGCGAGTTCAGCGAGTCCGAGACCTTGTAGACCGTGGCGTCATTGGCATCCCTGTACGCAATGGTGTAACTGTCATGCTCGCCGTTCACCATCATCCGCAGGGCATCGACGATGTGGGTCTTGCTGCTCTGGTAGAAGTACGGAATGACGAGGACAAACAGGATGACCAGGAACACAGACATCAGGGACAGCGTGGTCACCGGGTCGAAGTTGCAGATGTCCTGGTCGCAGGAGTTCTTGATGCCCAGGAAGAGGCCCGTGAAGACGATCACCACGATAAAGGTGAGGACGAAGTATAAGACGAGTTTCCGGAGCAAGGACTTGGATTCGTCAAGGGCTGTCTTGGGATCAACGTTATTATGATCCTAACTCGGTAAAAAACGCCCCCCATT